CAGCAGGATACTTGACTACAGTGGACATTTAAAGCTTCATTCTATACCTGTAATAAAGACTCTGGAGAAAATTGAGACTGAATTTGCAGACCAACCAACCACCTGCTATGTACCTACCTACTAGATTCCCGTGTCAGTGCCTCAAGCCTAGGCTGTAAGTGCCTGCTCACAGCAATAAACAGAATGCAGATGTTTTTGGCTCAAAATTATGAAGTATACCATATGTATGCTTACATTGTAATTTATCTCGCTGTTCACAAGGCAGAAAGGCTAACAGGATGTGAGGGCATTCAGTTTGCAATGCAAAGAGCCCTTAAGGAATAATTAATCTCTGCAGTTTTCCTCCATGCTTGAAGTGACCTGCTATACATCCCTTCTATTTGTATACTGCAGCACGTATGTTAAACCATATGGCAGATAGGCAGCCCCTACAGTAACTAGATGCTTTTTCTCCCTACAAACATAAAGGATCAAATTTATCTCCATTACAAGTTAAATCAACACGTGCCAAAAGCCTCCACTGGTCCCACTTTACTGTATTTTGTAAATCATCTGAACCTGTACAGGCTCAAGTTTCCTGTACTGATACAACAAAAGGATTTTTATGGCCAACTATCAAAGTGATAGCAATAAAGAGTCAGGCAGATCTTTAACTCCAGCGGTACGGGAGCATCCATGGGTGTGGTGGGATAAATCTGTCACAAACCACATCTCGCTCTCGTTAACAGCCTGAAAAGCAAACCAGGTGCAGCACCCTGATAACAACAGATCCAGCCCAGCTCTGTTCTGCCTGATACATGTTATGCATTATTGAAAGTAATTCTCAATTGTTGATTTATTTTGGTGGTTGTGATTGTTGCCTGGGCAGAACAAAGCTGGTGTACTACAATATGCTCTCAACATTTCACTCCACCCTCCCAAACTGTGCTCAAACTGAAGACATGAAGTCTCTTTACTTTGTACTTGTTACTGCCAAATGGCAGTTCCTATTGATGCATACATGTGCACTGCTGTAAACTGGATTGAAGAATGATGTCCATGATAGACATACGTGACAGGAGCACAGCAGCAAGCAGAGCAGATACAAGTCTCAAGCCATGAACGCGAGCTCCTGAGTAGGCCAAATGCACACAGTTCAATTCAGACACCATCGTGCTTCAGTTTCCCTCCCAGAGCCATTCCAGTCAAAGACTGCCGCAATATTGATTTGACACACAGGATCTTCTCACATCAGACACAGATGTTCAAGCTTAGCCCTTCTTTGCTCTTTTTTTGGTCAAAGAGCAGTTGTTAGGCAAGCAAAGTATATCATTTGCTGTACTAACCCTTGCATAGGTTTCAGTTTTGCAGTGAACACACTTAGTGAGACAAGAGATGTACTTCTGTGTATTTTTTTACCAGACTTTTAATTAAGATAACTGGGCTCAATTCCTTCGCAGGGGGAGTGGGTGGGAGCCATATTTTCTGATGTTCCAAAACACCAATAGTTCCAAAAAGGAGGGATGCAGGTAGATGATAACCATCGGCATCCGCTTCACGACAGGCGCAGTGGCACTGGGAAGCGCCTCCGCTGCAGCCTGGGGGGAGCCTGCCCCATCTCCCTCACCCACGGCCCTGATCACACCCAGTGACTCCGGCTCGGCAGCCATCATGCACCACAGGAAACCTGGCCTCCTGGCGCATAGCCCTGCAGCCGCCCGAGCCTGTCGAATCAGAAAGCAATCACCTGATGCTCAATCTCATTTCACTCGTTAGTCCTTGCCTGCAGCTTGCGCACACAGAATTAAAAGAGGCAGGATGCATGAACTTTGGAGTGCTGTGAGTCATCTCCAAGAGGTTTGGTATCACAAGGGTGCAACCAAGGTGGTGGAGCGCTGTGCAGTGGGAAAAGGTTTATGGTAGGAAAGGGTGTTATAATGTGCTGTAAGTCCCGTGGGAGTTCATGCTTTATGGAGGCAGGTTTTTTATGTGGAGCTTGGTGCCTTGGGGATTTCTGTGATATGTGTGGTCAAAAGCTCTTCTGGAAACCTAGAAGTGTGTTCTTTGTTGAGGCTTCCTGAATTATAGCATTAAAGAGTACTAACAACATTATACTCAATGCTCTGATGCAGCTTTGCATTAACTTCATTAACTTCAGGCACCACTTATCCCCCTCTTTAAACCAAATAAAAAAAGATGTCCCATCAAATCAGCAGCTGGAAACACATTCAGTGTGCCGCTGCGGTGTACCCGGAGGCTGCTGCGGTTTGGAGAGCAGACTGTGATTTTACTAAGTGTGAACGTGGCCCCTGCTACAGGATTTCTCTCTCTTTTCGTGCACCCCCTTCTCCACCCTACACGTTCAGCAAGCCGTGCGGCAGGGCAGAGGCACCTCGTGCTCATGACTGCCCCAGCAATGGCCCTGACCAGCCCAGCTGTGAACCGCATTGCAGTATTAGCACAGGAGGGAGGCATCTCTGGCCCTGGCACGGGTTGAGGGAACCAAACCTGCGTGGCTCAGGGGGGAGGGATGAGGTGGCCACAGTGACACTGTCTGCTCCAGGCGGATGCCTCTGAATAAGCATTGTTTTGGTCTCCTGAGGCGGCAGCAAGTGACTCATCAGGTGCTGTGGTCGTGTCCAGACATCTGGAATCCTCCTTGGAGAGTCAGCAGTGAGCTAACACAAACCTGAATAAAAGTCAAGGATCCACTTTATCCATCCTAGGTTTTGGGGGCTTTCCACCCTTTCCTGATGTTCTGGAAAGACCTTCAAGATTTTATACAAGTGTTATTTTCTCCCAGCATCAAAAAATTCAGCATGCAACACATAACACTTTAAACCAAGCTGCTGGGACAGGGCTCTGCAAAGGAAGGAGCACGGAAGGAACAGTTCAGGCCTGTGATTAACTCTTCATGTGGCACACAGTGAGAAAAAGCAGCATGAGCAACATACTAATCATTCTAGTTTTAATCGATACACTTGGCTTCCACTTCCACTTCTTACTTAAAAATCAATTCTCTGAGCTAATCAGCATCTGGCCTTTACTTTTCCTGCCTGTGAAAGACTGATTTTTTTCCAAAGCAGTGAGCATTCCCCAGCACGCAATAGGAACAGAATCAGCCAAGGCAAAGCACTATCCAATGTACAGCAGGACAGGAACTGGCACTACACCAACAAGCCAAACAGAAAAATAAGAGGAGAAAGCACTGAATCTTCACCTTGATCCTTATTTGAGCCTCATTCTGATATTTAGGTTTTAAGAAGGTTTTTAGAAAACTTCATTGAAAAGGTTAGAATCTCACAAGCAGACTCAGCCTCACAGCTTGCAAAACTGAAAACCAGGCCACAGGATGGAGAGGTACCAGATGACTGAACAGAGATGTGAGGAATTATATATAAAGAAAGAGTCAGAATAACCTGCCTGACGCCCTCAAATCAGGAAGCAACTGGAGCAGTAGTGGTACCATGATTCGACATGTGGGTGTGATGTTTTGCAGGCTGGTGTTTCAGTTGTTTACATGGATGCTGTTTACCTCTGTGCCTTGAGAGTCAGCTTCCAATTGAAATGTGAACTGTTACATATGATCATTTACAGCATGCCACTATTTGAGTATTCAGGGTGAAAACATTATCGGATCTCCTGCAACTAAAATCAGTATTTCATTTGTAATGAACAAATATTTATCTGTAGCTATTGTCAAAAGAGCTGTTTTAAATATAGTAGCTACATACAGCTATGGATGTTGCAACATAACAGCAGGAAGAGCCTCTATGTAAACTTTCCTACTAAAAAATCCCTCTCTCCCACATAGGGCAAACATAAAAAGCTGTGTGAGGTTCAGTTAATCAGCAGTAAGGCAATGAGTCTTGAGAACCTAAGACTTCATAGATTCTACACTATTTGGAATATCTGACCATCCAGCCATATAATTGCATGTGCTAGATGGTGGAGATAGTGTGTTTCAAGGGTGACCTTGAAAGGGGAGGTTTCTGAAACAGCACATTAACTGCGAAAAAGGTCTCTAGGCAGGACATCAGTCATGCTGTTTTCCAGATCCTATCCTTCGGGCAAAACTAATCTGGGCATCTCTTGCAAAGCAAAGTTAATGCATCAATCAACAAGAGAAGGATTTCAAGATAAAATGGTATGTTTGCGGGGAAACAGATGCATCCTGCAATCCCACGTAATAACCCTGCTGGCTTCTCTCAGGGACCTCCTCAGCATGCCTCTCGCAGTGTGGAGGTGAGGCAGAGACCAGCAGTGCTCTGATGCTTGGAGAGCGAGTGACTCAGCCTGCAAACAATCAGCAAATAGTCATAACAGAAACCTTCCACCTGGGCATTTGCTCCTTAGCATTGCATTAGTTCTGAATCCCCTGAAGTAGTGGTTGTTTCTATGTCTAATTTATGGTTGGGGAAACTGAGGCACAGGAAGGATGTGGCACTCAAGGCTTACACAGCAATTCTGTGACAGAGCTGAGGATGCTATCCAGACCTCCTGCCGTTCACTCCCAAGCTTTAGCCACAATATAATTTCCCCAGACTTCCTCAGGGATAGTCTACACAACAGTTCATGCTCAAAATGTAGTTTGAAAATAGTCTCTCTTACCTACATACATCACCCCTTCTTTAGTCTTCTCTGCAGCCTCTGTCACTCCCTGCTTGGTCTTTTCTGCAGCAGCTACCACACCTTCTTTAGCAATGGAGAAACCTTTCTTAAAGACATCCATTCTTGTTGCTTGCTAGGGTATATTATATGGATGATCTGAGTGAGGGACAGCAGCAAAAAGCACCTCGAGACTGGGACTGCAGCCTTGCCCTCAGTGGATACTCGGTTTCTCTGCCAGTCTCTGTCTTTGCTCTTACTCCTCTGCTGGATGAAGGTGGTGTGGCAAACCTCACATCCTTTGCCGTCTCTTATTGATGAAAAGCACTGCAGTGTAGCCAATACCTGTGAACAGCTGATACTGAAATATTAATGATATGGATATGCTTGTGAAGATTTAAGAGGGAAGGGGGAGAGGAGGACAACGACACCAGGAGGCAAAGGACTGTCTGGAAAATTTCCAGACAGATAAAGCTTTTAAAATACTCTGCAGTGCTCTCATTCAAGGATGCTCTCATGTGAAGAGGGAGACTTTTTATCTGAAGAGCTAAGTTCCTGAAAGGGCATCTCCCCAAGGCTGCAGCAGGAGGCAAACACAAGCTCCCTCCACACAAGCTTTCTCCCGGGTTCCCAGAGGTTGGAGAGCACCTAAAGCTCGAAGCAAACAAACAGGGTCAGGTTTCTTGGTCTGACAGTTACCAGAACCCATCCTGCACAAAACAGTTACAAGAACATTATTTCTAGTAAATACTGAGGGAAAAAGGGAATCAGCTTCCCTTGGTGCTCAAGTGAAGGGTGCTCAAGAAGAAGCCCCACTTGCCATGTTTGTCAAGTCTAAAAGCACTTAGTATGAATTATGGGTTTTGTTGGGCTGCACATCCCGTTCATTTCTGAAAAATCAGGTGCCTGTTGGGGGAAATCCTGTTTCCTATTTGTTTCTCTGAGCTGCTGCAGACAGAGGTCTGCTCTGCCACTGCAGAGTGAGATGACATTTTACACTGATGCCATCACTCATGTCAGAGGTCTGTGCTGCAGAGCACGGTGGGGTGAGAAAATCATCCTGCAGAGAACTGGTTGGGGAGATCTTTACAGTTTTCAGTGAGGAGCCACCCAGCCTCAAGGCCTTGCTTAGGAAGAAAAGTACCAAAGCACATGCTCATTAATCACAGTTGGATATCCCTATGTGCTTAAAGTTAAACCCAAGCTAAATTGTTTTCTGAACTAGATCCCAAGTGGCCCAAATCAGCTATTATCCCACTAGCAAACTGAAATTCAGTGCAAGCACCTGGAAAGCAATTGCTGGTTCAACAAGGTGATTTGTTTGGATAGTGCCATATCTGAAACTATGGAAGCCATGGAGCATCGGCCTCTGAAAACAAACCCTGACCAGCTCTGGCTGCTTTTCCTTACCAGGCAAACAGAACATAACATTCAGAGGTTTAACTGCATTATGGGAGGATAGCAAACTAACATCACGAAGTGTAGTGGTCTGTAAGCCACAGCTGCCACAAGTTATCAGCCTGGAAGTTTCGGATGAAGAATGACTACACAGAAAATAAAAAAGTCTGAATAAAAATGACTACACAAACATAGTTCTTACTGTGAAATTAAGAATATTTCTTTAGGTACTGGGAGTGGGTTTTTTACCCCATGTTATAATTGAAAAACTGCTTATCTGGAAAATAATATACAGATTTCTTCATCTTTCTCACAAATAGATCTCCTCTCTTACAAATGAAGAATAAATTTCCATTTGAATATAGAGGAGCCAAATCTTTGACAGACTAAGAAAATCTATCAATTGTTAATTAAAAAAGTGCAAGATTCAGAGGAAGGCCATACCAAAACGTAGCAATTATTATAGAAGCTCTCATTGTTCTAGACAGTTGCAGCAAGGAGTGAAAAAAGGTTTTCCTTATCATCTGTCAGTATTTCTGTTAGGTGGCTGATTGACCAATGCCCAAAGTGCACAGCTAGTGCTCATTTCTTAAAACTGAAGACATCTGCATCTTATTCTGCTGT